CTGATCATGATGATTACCTCTGTTGAAATAGAGCATATAAGAGTAAATGATATCGGAGAGGAAAGGATTTTCTGTGTATTTTATTAGAGGGTTAAGGCCCTATATATATATATTACAAAGATGGAATATTCCTATATAAGATGCTATACAATAATAATGTCTAGAGTATATTCCTAAAGCATATTCTAGAGCATATTCCTAAAGCATATTCCTAGATACAATAATACTTTCACACTCCCCCTCAAGTTGGAGCATAGATATTTATCATGCCCAACTTGTTACATAAGTAATCAACTCGAATCCCATTTAGAGCTTTAGTGAATAAATCTCCAAGTTGTTCTCCAGTCTTCACATACCCGGTAGAGATTAATCCTTTTTGTATCTTCTCTCGAATAAAATGGCAATCAACCTCAATATGCTTTGTTCTCTCGTGAAATACGGGGTTGTTTGCTATGTGTATAGCAGCTTGGTTATCGTACCACAACTGAGCAGGCATTGGTGTCTTCAATCCAATTTCATTCAATAAATGGTGTATCCATATTATCTCACATGCGGATTGTGCCATAGCTCGATATTCTGATGCAGCACTAGAACGAGAAACCACATTCTGTTTCTTACTCTTCCAGGATACAAGATTACCACCAACAAAGACACAATAGCCAGATGTAGATCTTCGATCATCTTTAGAACCGGCCCAATCAGCATCTGCAAAGCATTCTATTCTCATGTGATCATGGTTTTGATAAACAATACCTCGTCCTGGTGCTCCCTTTAAGTAACATAATAGGTGTTCTACAGCAGCCCAATGATCAATGGTCGGAGATGACATGTATTGACTCACTACACTCACAGAATAAGCAATATCTGGACGGGTGACTGCGAGATAATTAAGCTTTCCAACCAGTCTTCTATATCTTTCTGGGTCTTCAAACGATGTGCCTTCTTGAGTGAGTTGCACGTTGGGAACCATGGGTGTTGTACTTGGTTTTGCCCCTAATTTCCCTGTCTCAGCTAGTAAGTCAAGTACATATTTACGTTGAGATAGAAATATGCCTTTCTTACTTCGTGTTACCTCAATTCCCAGAAAGTATTTCAAAGAGCCAAGATCTTTCGTCTGGAATTGACTATGCAGAAAATTCTTAAGGGCCAAAATACCTGCATTATCACTCCCTGTAATCACAATATCATCAACATATACCACAAGCAATGTGACACCTGATTCTGTTTGTTTGTAAAACACAGAGTGGTCTGATTTGTCTTTTATCATTCCAAATTGTTCAATTGATTGACTGAATTTCCCAAACCATGCACGAGGACTCTGTTTCAGACCATAAAGAGATTTGCGAAGTCGACAAACTTTACCATACTCCCCCCTGAGCAACAAATCCCGGAGGTTGCTCAATATAGACTTCTTCCTTGAGGTCACCATGCAAAAATGCATTTTTAATGTCCAATTGATGTAAGTGCCAATCATGAATTGCAGCGAGTGAGATAAGTAACCTGACAGATGTTAATTTAGCAACAGGAGAAAAAGTGTCAGAATAATCAACACCATAGGTTTGAGCATAACCCTTCGCAACTAATCGGGCTTTCAACCGAGCAACGGATCCGTCTGGGTTAACCTTAACAGCAAAGACCCACTTACATCCAATAGATTTCTTCCCAGTAGGTAAGTCAACCAAATCCCATGTACCATTAAGATCTAAAGCATTCATTTCCTCTACCATGGCTTGACGCCATTCAGGATGAGACAGAGCTTCTTTGACAGATTTGGGAACAGAAATAGAATCAATGGAAGCAATAAAAGAACATGAAGCAGGAGATAACTGATTGTACGACACAAATGAAGAAATAGGATGAGTACAAGACCGTGTACCTTTACGTACTGCTATTGGGAGATCAAGATCTGATGTGGAAACAAGATCTGAAGATGCAGATACTGGTTCAGGACATGAGATCGGAGTCGAACTAGTATCAAGAAAAGTAATCACAGGTATCGCCGGTGGAGGGTGATCAGGTGCTTTGTGTCGACGGGTGTATACCAAATGTACGGGAGGCCTAGGGTCATGAATAGTAACTTGTGGAATATTTGTCGAAAGTGTGGACTCGGGAATAGTCATCGTGTAAATGAGAATATCATCATTACTCTCACTAATATCTGCCTTAGATGATGAAAAAGGTGTATTTTCATGAAATGATGCATCAATAGAAACAAGATACCGACCAGTACTCGGACAAAAACATCTATACCCCTTTTGGACTCGAGAATAACCCAAGAAAATACATTTTAATGATTTCGGATCTAACTTTGTTAGATGAGGATTAACATCTCTAACAAAACAAGTGCAACCAAATATTTTAGGTGGGATAGGAAAAAGCTCTCTGTTTGGAAATAGACAATGATAAGGAGCTTTACCATTCAAAACAGAAGATGACATTCGATTTATCAAAAAACATGCAGTAGACACGGCATCTGCCCAAAACTGTTTAGGCACATTCATTTGGAATAGAAGAGCTCTTGCAGTTTCTAACAGATGTTGGTTCTTTCGTTCCGCAACTCCATTTTGAGGAGGTGTATCAACGCATGAAGTTTGATGAATAATGCCATGTTGAAGCATAAATGACTTAAATGTAGCAGATAGATATTCTTGGGCATTGTCTCCTCTTAACACCCGAACAGGAACGTTAAACTGAGTTTTAATTTCAGCACAAAAGGAAGAAAAATGAGTGAACAACTCAGATCGACGTTTCATGAAATACAACCATGTCATACGAGAATAGTCGTCAACAAAGGTAACCAAATATTTAAAACCAGCTTTAGACACAACCGGGCAAGCACCCCAAACATCAGAGTGAACAAGGTCAAATGGAGCATTTGCTCGTTTATTAACTCGCGGGCCTAAGCTAGTACGATGGTGTTTCGCAAATTGACATGACTCACATTGTAAAGAGGTCATCTTATTAAATTGGGGATTTATTTGCTTCATTAATGGGAGAGATGGATGTCCTAATCGGTAATGAGCATCTAACAAAGTCCCAACCCCAAGACAAGAGATACCTTTGGTGATGGATGTATCCAAAATATATAGACCAGCTGACTCATGTCCTTTACCAATAATCTGCATCGTTAACAGATCCTGAAACACACAATATCCCGGAAAAAATGTTACAGAACAATTAAGAGTACGAGTGATTTTACTGATGGAAAGCAGATTAAATGCAAAATTAGGAAGACTCAAAACAGGCGATAATGGTAATGTAGAAGTTGGAACAACAGTACCAGATCCAAGAACGGGTGAGGTAGATCCATCAGCTAAAGTGACACTAGAAGTAGGTAAATATGAATGAAATGACGAGAATAGACTAGGATTACCGGTCATATGATCTGTGGCACCTGAGTCAATGACCCATTTCGAGGATGAGGAAACAAGACACGTGTTTGAAATACCTGAATTAGCGGTTACCGAGATAGGGACAGAGGAATGCTTTAGAGTTTCTTGGTAGCAAATAAATTTGGCATACTCGTTTGAAGAAATAGCAATTGATCCATCGGATGAACTGGTAGCGGAAGCAACATGAGCAAGCTGATTTCCTTGATTTTTGAACAACAATTTTCTACATTCTTTGATCAAGTGTACGGGCTTCTTACAATAATGACATATTATTCTTCGGCCAGACTGATCAATGGAAGTCATTTCTTTTTTTTTCTCTTTTTTTGTTGTGTCTGTCGGCACTATACTCAAAGCAGTATATTCAAATATGGTGGATGGGGATATTAAAATAAACCCTGACACGAAACTTTCCTTCTGGAAATTTTCAGAAGCAAGGACATACCTCTCTCTCCTCACCAGAAGAATAGATCGGTTACCACCAGTTTTGAAATCAACTCCAAATAAGGCAGATCACTATCCATGCCAATTCCCAATCTGAAGAATAGTTTGGTATACCTACTGTTCATTTCAACAATAGTAATCGATCCATTTCCTACTTGTGCTCTACTCCCTTAGAAACACATCAGATTAAAAAAAAACCCAGAGTGGGTTCCAGGTGATAGAAATAGAATTGAAATTCAAAAAACGAGTAAACCTGGAAATCAATAGCTCTAGAAGATAAAGGAAACTAAGACGAGCCACTGAAATTCTGAATCGTATCCGACGGAAATTCCAGCCAGCGACTAGGTCTCACGCGCCGGCGCGTGCGGTGGTCGGCGTGGACTTCAGGCGGCGCGTGTGGATCACGCGCGTCGATTTTCTGCTGCGGACTTCAGGGGCCTGGTCGCCGGTGGAATGTGTACCTTCTGGAATCTGAGGTGAGATAAGGGTTACTGGATGCCTGGACCCCAAGGTTGCTGTGACGTGATGCTGTTGGTGTTCAAAGGCCAAGGGGCTGGGAACTTAAAAAAAGATAATATGCTTACTAAAAATTCTAAGCTGATTTTCTGAAATGATCGGATGTTCTGAAATGCTCTGATACCATAAGATGCTATAAGAGTAAATGATATCGGAGAGGAAAGGATTTTCTGTGTATTTTATTAGAGGGTTAAGGCCCTATATATATATATATTATAAAGATGGAATATTCCTATATAAGATGCTATACAATAATAATGTCTAGAGTATATTCCTAAAGCATATTCTAGAGCATATTCCTAAAGCATATTCCTAGATACAATAATACTTTCACAACCTCGTTGATAAAAAACGGAGTTTTAGTGACAAACGCTAAACTCGGTGCTTGCAAATGGTGAAAAAAGTGTTATCTACTCTTGATTGTGGTGATGTACTTACAAATTTGCACATCAAAAAGCAAGAAGAATATGTTATTAGGTAGTACTTTTATAATTTTATTTATTTCTTTGAAGAATTTATATTTTCACATACTGTACATCAATTTTAAATCAGGTATTTCTTTTTACATTTAGTAAAAAATGATGTTATAATTTTCAAATTATTTCATATTTAATTATGTTATTAATTTGAAGTACAATTTGATATCATTAGTTATTTTTTGTCTGGGGCACCAAAATTCCTGGAGACGGCCCTGGGCAAGATCTGCAGAATCTGCGGTGAAGAGGATCAGCAGGGATGCTAATGGTCTCAGCGGCTACAGGGCGGCGGCATGGCTTGGGCGGCAGAGGCGATGCCATGTTTTGGGAGGCGGCGGCGACTCCATGCCTAGATCGGCAGCTCCCTGGTTTGGAAGGCGATGAAGTAGATCGAAAGGTGTAGATGGGGGAGTGAAGATGGGTGTTTTGTTTTGAGATTATGTGGGGGGTATTTTTGCCAGTTAACAAACAAGTAGTCTCTTTTTTGTCTAGGTTAGATATTAGTCCTCCAAGGAGAAGCAAATGGTCTTCTCCGTGATTCCGTGTCATTCATTAAAATCCAAACACAACTAAAATAATAGGTGATTTTGCATAGGATCTGTAGTGAATAGCAACTCCATGTAGAGACCATGTGAACTGTTTGCATATCTGAGTAGTGATCAACTTCTCCCCATTAGCCACATAAACCTCCAAGGGATATGATTTGGTGATTTTGCACCCAAACCTTTCAGCAGTGTGTTGATCTAAGAAGTTATGAGTGCTTCCAGAATCGATTAATACATGTAAACCATTCTTCTTGACCCTGCCAGTGACCCTCATGGTCTGGAAATCATTTCTGCCGGATAAGGCATTTAAGGATATCTGATGTTATTTCAGCACACCTGCTTGCTCCTTCTTCTTGTAATAGCATCTCTGAATATGTCGCCTTTGATTCTTCCATTATTTCTTCCTCCCTTTCCAATGGTATGATCTGTATTTGATAGAGTCGAGACTTGCATTTATGGCCTGATGAATAGGTCTCATCACAGTGGAAACACAAATTTCTTCTCCTCCTTTCTTCCACATCTGCAGGTAAAGGAGGCCTTTGATAGACACTGGTAAATCCAACTCACAATTACAGTAGAATCAATGAGAAGATAACAAGAAGCAAGATCAATATGAAGTTTATTGATGAAGAAGAAAAGTATGGAACGTATATAAGCACATGACGATTCGAGATGCCCAGCCTCCAAGCCTAGCCAAATTCAACTGAATATTTGCCTGCCTCATTTGCTACCCTCCCTTTCTATTTAAAGTACAAGCCCACTTATTATTATCTAATTAATAGACCCACTTATTATTATCTCTAATAATAGGACCATTCCTATCACTACTCCCCCCTAAACAACCACCTTGTCCTCAAGGTGGATGATAGGAATCAGCTATGATCTTCCACTTCCACTTCATTCTGGCACCTCTCCCTTCCCAGTACCCCATTGCATTCTGGATCTTTAGCTTCAACACTTGAGCCATCCTCTTTACCTCCACCATCACATGAATGAGCAGAGGCAATGACACTGTTGAGTCATGCTTCCCTGCTTTGTCACTCCATCCAAGTGATTCCTGAATCTTGCTGTTATCATTACTTTGGAGGATTATTCCTTCACAAAAAACCAAATATCCATCCCCTTGTATCATCTGATTCTGCCCTTGTTCCTGCCACCTTATAGTTTGCTTTTGGAAGTTGACTTCTACATCTCCCAAACTGGTCAACCACTCCATCCCAAGCACTACATCCGTTCCCCCAGCTCGAGGATGTAGAAATCCTGCTCAACAACTGCCTCCTGTAAACATAAAGCCAACCCTTCACATCTCCCATTGTTAGCCAATTTGTCTCCATTTCCAATCTGCACTTTATATCCTGTAATGGTGTTATAAGGTATTTTCAAATGATTTAACAACCCTTGGAATATGAAGTTATGTGTAGCTCCAGTGTCAATCAAGACATCCACTTCCTTTTCTCCTAGCTTCCATTTTAAGTAACCTTTTACTTTAAAAGCTCTCATGGAAGGTATTCCTTCCTTACTCATGAGTGACAGTTGCATGGACTTGGATTCCATGACAACTTCCTCCTCTTCTGAACTTTCTCCATTTCCTTCTTTACATTCTGCCTCTTCTTCAGAATCCTCCACCAAGATCAGTTTGTAATTCCTCAATTTGCATGTGTGTTCCTTACTCCATTTGTCACCACACTTGAAACACAACCCTTTTCTGCTCCTCTCCTGATACTCTTCTTGTGAAAGTTGTGGCACTACTCTCCTGATCCCAGAAGGATGTATTTCTGTCACCTTCCTTCCCATAGTATTTCCCCAAGGAATGTTACTCTGATTCTGATTGCTACTTCCTGCATTGTTAGACCTGGTTTTATATCCCTCTCCCCAGTTTGGAAGTTTACTCAGAATAGGTCCCTTCTCCCTTCCCACCAGTTTGTCATCCTCTTTTCTCTTAGAGTATATTGCATCATTCTTCTGCTCAATCAGTATAGCTTTATCCATAATTTCAGTTAAAGATCTGGAAGCATACAATTTCAACTCAGATTTAACCTCATTCTTCAAACCTGTGATGAAAATTCCTCAGCAAATTTGTGTCCATATTCTGTTGAGGTGCCATCACCATTTCAAACTCCTCTCGATATTCCTTCACTGTTCCAGTTTGTTTTAAACTCAATATAGGTCCGCAAGGATTTTGAAGTAGTTCCGGTTGAAATCTTCGAATAATAGATTTCTTCAAAGTCTCCCAGCTAGTTTCTTCAGTCTGATTTTCCCACAAATGAAACCAGTTCAAGGCTCTATCTTCCATAGCAACCATAGAGGCTTCAACCTTCTCATCCTCTTCAATATGGTTCAATCGAAAATACCTCTCCATTCTTATACTCCAGTTATATGCTCCCTCGCCGTTAAACAAGGGTAAATCTATTTTTCTGCCGGTGCGTACAGGTATTCTCGTATGTTCATCACTACGACGATGATCGTTGATATTAGAATGAACGGAATTACCTCTGGAATGTACTGGACTGTGCGACGATCGCTATCTTCCCTTGTACTGAAGTTTTTCATTCATCGCTGCCATAGAAGCGTTGATGTTCTCCATCGCAGACCTCAGCTCCATCTGCAACTCCGTTCGCACTTCCAGAAGGTTGCGTTCCAGCGAATCAACTCGATTCTCCATTTTAGCTCTCGTTCTGACCTATCACACCTTGAACGACTTCTTCCAGGTGGTGCGACACACTTCCAGGTCACCAGAAACAACGGCTCTGATACCAATGATAGACATTGGTAAATCCAACTCACAATTACAGTAGAATCAATAAGAAGATAACAAGAAGCAAGATCAATATGAAGTTTATTGATGAAGAAGAAAAGTATGGAACGTATATAAGCACATGACGATTCGAGATGCCCAGTCTCCAAGCCTAGCCAAATTCAACTGAATATTTGCCTGCCTCATTTGCTACCCTCCCTTTCTATTTAAAGTACAAGCCCACTTATTATTATCTAATTAATAGGCCCACTTATTATTATCTCTAATAATAGGCCCATTCCTATCAGCCTTCTCCTGGGAATGAGTTGGTTAGAAGACCCCCCGATCAGTTTTAGTCATATTTGGTTTCATTCCATTGTAAGGTGGATAAGTAGGAGTTTTCAGGAGTGGTTTATCTGGATTTGGTTTGACTGTTCTTTTCATAGGTAAGAGGCTGTTTTCTAATAATCTGGCATACTCTAGCACTATATAATGAAGTTGGTTTGAAAGCCCTTACAAAAGATTTGATGGTCACCTTCAGCCCTCCCACAAAACTATCGAGGAAATAGGAATCTGGCAACTGATTATTTCTTTGAAGCACTGTACTCTTGAGATGTTCAAAGGAATCCAAATATTCATCAAGGGAACCAGTCTGCTGCAATTTATTAAATTCCTCCACCACATTACCCCCTATTTCTTCATTAAATCTTGCACACAAATCTATTATAAATTGCTCCCATAAGACAGATTTATGTACTGCACTGTTATACCAAGATTCTGCCCTTCCATTCAAGTACAAAGATGCTAGGTCAACCTTTTGATGATTATCAATTTTTCACAATTCAAAGTACTTCACACACTTTTGAATCCAAACTCTAGGGTTACTTTCATTAAACCAGGGGAATTCAACTTTAGGTGTAAAACCTGAAGTTCTAACCTGATTGTGCTCATGGAGGGGAGTACTGTGCAGAGAATGATTATATTCTTCATCATTTTTCTTCTGCAGAAGTCCTAGCAGAGCATCCAGTTTCTGTGAGGTATCCAGGAATTTTTTCTCGTTCACTAAGGATTGCTCTAGCAGTCGTTGCTCCAATTGTATCATCCGTTCCTCCATTTTGGCCGATAAACTTGCTATAGTCACCTTCTTGGCCAGGATGTATGTTAGGAAGCTTAGATTGATTTTAATGGCAGAAGTGAGTCCTCAGAATCGTGCTCTGTTACCAATTGGTATGGACCTAGCCCATACTAGGCCCATACCAGTGCCATAAGTTCAGGTGTAGAACTCACTCTTAAAAGACCAGCCGATTAGGAGAAGGGGACACCGGCTTATAAGCCACCGGTCAAGCCCATACTTGACCAGTGTGGGATCGTTACAATACCCCACACTTTGAAGAGCCAACGTCCTCGTTGGTCACGACTATGTTGGTCACGGTTGGCACCCCCCAGTGTTCAAGCCACCACTCCATAGCCACCACTCCGAGTGTCGGTATGCCATCTGGACACATTGCTCTCTTTCGCCTCATCTTTCTTAAAGCATCCTTACAAGGTTTTGAAAGGCGAAATCGGACCCTGATGGCAGCCACCCAAGGCGTAAGGCTCGAGGCGTAATGACATGTAAGCCTCAAAATTAATTGCTTAAGTTTTGCTACAAGCTTACAACATATCAGATAATATAGATTCATAACAATAGTGCTCCTAAACAAAATCACAAGTAAAAAGAACATAACAATAAATTATCCAAGTCAAAATAACATATAACTGAAATACCAAAGTCAAAACTCAAAAGAACAGAAAACACTAAAACTCCAAGACAAAAGAACATAAAAGCTTAGGGATTTAAGTTTGCAAATTGACAAATCACAGCTATTAATCTTCAAAACTAAGTTTATCGTCCATTTCATTAGTGTCCAAATTAGTCATGTCATTTTGATTCCATCCCCTTTCTTATCACAGGCCTCATTATCTTCTTTAGTTCCAATCGTAAGGTCCACCCCTACTCACATAAAGTCAAAAATAATAGAATCAACCGGGATGCTAGTTAGGTGTAAATAATTATATTGAAGTGACAAAGAAATAAAATATTAAGTTATGAACCTCTAAGTTCATTGTTCATTTCATCAACAATCAACAATTAATGCAAGTTCATCATTTGCAGCTGCACTTTCTCCGTCATATGCATTCGGTTCAACAATCCACTCATCATTAGATGATACATTTTCGAAGACCAAATTATCCTCTTTCTTTTGTAATCGGCTCCTCCTAAACTTCAACTTCTTGTTGACAAGGTTGTTAGGATCGCGAGGTAAGTCGTAAGATCGTACGAGTTTGCGATGTGAAGAGGGGGAATCGCGTCAGCTCGCTCCAAAGATCGCAAATTGACCTGGGATCAGCGGATCGTCGAGTAGGATCGTAAATCGTACGCCTCGCCGATCCAAAACGAGCTGCGACTGCTCCGTTCAAAAACGGGAAAAAGAACGACGCCATTGAAGTCTGAAACGGCGAGTTTGAAAAAAAAATTAACGACTTACGATGAACGAAGGCCAAGCGACGAGTTTCAATCGTTAATCTTCCTGCTTCATCCGCTATAAATCAGTCGTCTCTTTCTTGAGTCTTCATCCTTTCTTTATTCTCCGATTGTCTCTATGTCATCCGCTTATTCTTCAGCTTTCTGTGTCGTCATCTTTCTGAACGAAGGCCAAGGGACGAGATTCTGGGGTGTTTGGATCTGATTTTTAAAACTGCTTCTGCTCCTCCAGGGAGCAGAAGCAGAAGCTAGAGTGTTTGGGTGAAAGTGCAGATGTGATTCTGGTGCTCTAATTTACTCCTAGAATCAGTTTTTTTAGAAGCTGAGGGGACCAGCTTCTCAAAACAGATGCTGATTCGCTTCTACTTTGAAAAAGAAGCAGAATCAGAATTGGTTCCAAACACCCCCTCTATGTGTGTCGGTAGCTTTAGAAAATATTCCACCGCTTATACTCCACTTTACTAAAGCCACTTTAGTAAAGGGGTTATTATTGACTCTGACTTCTGAAGTTTTGATAGCATTAAATATGCCATGATGGATGATCATTTTAACCCGAATGATTTTGTTTAAAGTTGTCTTATTTAATTTATCTTAAGTTTGTTATGCACTTATGCCAAGTGTTTTAAACTTTTAATTCAAAAATGACATTATGCTATTCATATTTCATATTTCAAAAGTTTTAAGTTTAAATATATATAGTTATATCTATAATCTATATATATATATGCATGGTATCTTTGCTTTAAAGATCTTACGATCCGAGTTACGATCCACGAGTTACGATCTCCTAGCCCCCTTCCGATCCGAGCTAGGATCTCGAGTTTAACAACCTTGCTTGTTGAACATTAATTACATTATAAACACCAAACTATTCAACATAATGATTGAAAGACAATTCTTTCTCTTCGTGTGGACTTGATTGATTGTGCTCCAATTTCGTTCACTAGCTGAGGAAGAACACGTCAAGCCAAGAATTTTGACTTCAAAAGCCCGTAGTTCTGGAATATGATCTCCAAATTGATCCCATCATTTCACTAAAATTAAAAAAAAAATGTCAAAGAACTAACAAATGTAGTTTTACAGATTTAGTAGGTAAGGCAGTTTTTATGCAAAGAAATTGCAGTTTTCAGTTTAAGACCTTAGGTAATAGACAAAAAACATTTTTAGTAGTTACCTTAAGTAAAATAAAAAAAAATTGCAGCTTTTAGTTTGAATTTAGAACTTAAAAATTTACATACATGATACACTATATATATAGATCAAGGATATATGGAGTAGTTTATGTTTACCTGGGGATGTGTTTTATATGAATTTTGCGCTGCCCTCATTCCAAAAGGTCCACACTTGTATTGATATTCATCCATTTGTGCATCAGCTTCGTTAAAATCATAACTATCAGAAATCAGTCTCTATACAAGTGTACAAACCTTCCTTAACCTCCACATGAGTAGAGAGGCCATCCTACCATATAAATCCGGGATTCAAATAATGACGCGGCATGTACAAAACATGTTTACTCCTATTTAGGGCAATTACCCTTCAAATTTCATCGTACCGAACAAGTCCCTTCTTCCAAAGGGTTTTAGTAGGCAGCAAAGGCTGTAGCCACACCTTACGCAAGAAAGAAATTCAGGGATTTGATAAAAATCGAACTGAAGAATTGGTTCCCGATCATACATCGATTCAGTTTATAGAGTTCTAAAAACTGAATTGTCGGTTCGCTTTGTAATTTTTCTATTTCAGTTCAGGATCCGAACCGAACCCAACTCTAGTTAAATTACCTAGCTCCCCTTTATTTCCATCATTTGCAATGGAGCCAAAGATTCATTATTTTTTGGTTTGAGATTATGTGGAATAAAGCAAAATGGCTCACTAAACTGTCTGCGCTTCTTTGTTATGGAGCAGCAGTCGGTCCATGCAATATTGGACGCGATTTTCACTATGGGTCATCCGAAAACAGTCTCTCTGTGCTTTAGTATAGGGGTAAGACTGCGTACATCCGACCCCCCCTTACCCCACCGTAGTTGGGAGCCTTTGCGGCACTGGGGCAAATGAAAATGATGAAATGATTAAGAATATTTGAATGGGAAAATACAAAAAAGAGAAATGACTAATCAAAGTCTTGTGGTTCGATGACATAATTGTGACACTCCCAAGAGGAGGTCACAAGCTCGAAACCAATCCAAGTGAAGGATATTGGCAAGAACGAATACGGGGTACTATAATTGATCAGAAAGCATATAAAGAAAGGCATATACTAGTATAATTTTGAGGGTTGAGCCACGTAACTGCACTTTCTAATTCTACTTGCACCACAACTTATTTTGTTTGCTATCTATTTCATGGTCTTGTCATCTTGTGTACTCTCCCTTTTGCTTTTAAATATGACATAATTTTGTTTGGTTTTGTTTCCTGATCTGGAAATGTTAAAATGGTGCTGAATATAGTGGACTGAATTCCAACTAACCTTAATTGTAGGAGGCAAAGAGACGACCCTTAGCACCCAGGTTAACCGCTAAGGCCATCCTGTCAGCCGCTGCCGCAGATTCTGCTGGTTGTCACCGGGACTCCATTCTCTCTTTAGCCTCTGTGAAGTTGAACCAGAGACTACTGATATCCAGCTGTAGGGATGGTGCCATAAAGGTTTGGAAGTAAAGGACTAACATAGCTTTGTTTTTTTGGCAAAGAATAACATAGTTTTGTTGTTTACTGTAAATATATTTAACGTATAATTATTATGCTAAAAAAATATGTGCATTGTATATAGAAGATCCACGTTAAGATAGCTCAGATCTAGTTTCCTATTTAAATTAATTTTTCCCTCATACCTGTGAAAATTTATGATTTTGTAATATTTGGCGGCTAGGAATTAATATGGTGTATAGAAACGTAGAGATTGACTAGTCTCCTTCTACAAGGACGACGGACATTATTTCATGAATTGTGTGAACATTATTATGTTTATTTACTCCAAGTAATGACAATATTTTAATGTTATGATCACCACATAATCACTGTATCACACAGTGGCGGATCTAGGCTTAACGTTTTAGGTGTTCGAAATAGAGTGAGATTTAAAAAAAAATCATTGCTATTAACACAAATAAATGCAGCAAAATAAAATTCATACCAAAACTAAATTAATCAAATCAATCATAAAACCTCACCCAAAAATTTAAGCAAAATAACGCTAATATACTAAACAATTAAACAAACGTTACACTAAGACAACCAACCTAACAGTATATCTACCAAATACCAATATTTTCTCAATATTAGTTCTGAATTAACCATTCAACCACAAGGAAAGCAGTGGGAAACGAATCATTAGTGGAGAGAGCTACAATAGAACGACTGCAACTCGCGAGTAGTCTGGACGAAAGAATTTGGCTAGCTTCCAATTCTGAGTGAGGGAGATGATATGAAGTTGGATTTTCTAAATAGACTAACAAATGACGTTTTTTGCATAATAAAAATTAATTTTTTGGGTGTTCACACGAACACTCTTGAACAACAGTAGATCCGCCCCTGGTATCACACTACCTTCATTGCAGTTTTATATACGGGTATTAGCCCTTAGTAGGAGTAAAATAAGCTCAAAATTCAACTAGGAGTATAATCTTTTTATTCCCAAAATATGACTAATATATGTCTCTTCTTCTCATTCTACTCCCTTCCTATCATTTCAATAGATTTATTTTATTAATAAGAAAATCATAGTTTTATTTATAATAAAAATATAAAAAATAATAAAATATTTATAAAATAATAATGAAAATGTAAAAAATAAAATAAAAAAAATTTAAAAATAATAAAAAAATTATTTAATTTTTTTTAAAGAAGTCCAAAAAATATAATAGAATACCTAAAAAATATTTAAAAAATGTGTAGGTCACTGCAAACATGTCCTCTACCTCCAGCACCACTGGTGTGTAGCATATAATGGGCACACAACTATTTTTTTACCCAAGGAAGTAGGGTGTCGAACCACAGAGAAGCGGGAAATAAAATAATTAAGCACAAACTAAGGATTAAAGTTGGGAATGCGTTTCTTTTGATTTTTGTTTGCTTGGAAAAGTAATTAAATAAAAGTGATTGAGAGAAGAGATTTTTATCAACACAAAGTTCAACCAATAGCAAGTAGGGGTAGAAATTGGCAACTAATTGTTCAATGCTCATTTGTAAGACATAATTGCTAATTTTATTCTTAGATAGATTGTGAGAAGTTGTAGATAAATATTTTAGGACCCAACACAAGTCACCTAAAATAAGTAACTAGTCGACATTTCCCAGTGATGGCCAAAACGAGACTAGTTGTTTAAGTGCAACGACAACCTTAATTATTAACTATATTATTTACCCAACCCCGTGGTGTAAATAATATAATTAAATAATTAAATTCTCCCGTAAAACTTCAATCCGGGACAAGGTAAAAGAAGTTTAACGGTGTGTTCAGAAAGTGTTCATTTGTGTATTTAACAAACAATATGTTTATGATTGAGTACTCATAATATATATCATAAACACAACATAATTAATTTTCTGGACACAACAATCTAAATAGAACAAACTTAACAATTAAAATCAATACAAATTAAAACATTATAAGAACAATTAATTAACCAATTTCTAGCCCCAAATTTATTTAGCTATACATGATGGGAAACATAGAAATAGATGAATCCATGATTAAAGTACAAGATTTAATGAGATAAGGAAGATCAAACTTGTGATAGATGACAATCCTTGGAGCTTTGATGCTAATCTTGACTTAATCTTGGATGAGAAAGTGATTAGTTATGATTGAAGATGGGTTGATGATTTGGGGTTGAGAAATGAAGAGAGAAGGAGGAGGAAATGTTTCTGGGATGTTTAGAGAGAGGTTGGTCCGAGCTTATGTCTGGAGGAAGATGGATTAAGGCAATATAATGATAAGGTGATTAATCATTAATTGCTGGGATTTACGGAACAGATGAGTTTATGTACAACAAAGCGCAGTAAAGTTTCAACAGTGGCAGGTAGCTCAACGGATAAGCACTTCAGGGGAAAACTCGGAGATCGTGGGTCGATTCTCGGCTTCAACATTTTGTTCTTTTCTTTGCCGCGTTCGGAAGGAATATATCAATTGCCAGCTGAATATGTACAACATTGATCACTTAGCACACTGGTAGTAGTAGGCATTCTTCTACCCTTTCCCCAGGGATCGAATCCCAACTCCATCATTTTTATTTTTTGCTTCTTTTCTTCAATTTACTCCTTATTTGTTTTGAAGAAAATTCCACTTTTATTGACTTCCAACTTGAACTTTTATTTTCTTCTTTTGTTCACTCTAATGTATCCAAATAGCATCAAAAGTACCTGAAAATACAAAATACCCGTGTAGGGACTGCACAAGTACAAACTAACGACAAATTATAAAAATATGTACAAAAGTAGAATTTTAATAACTAAAATTAACAACAAACTAAGCCTAAAAAGTGTGTAAAATACAAGTACATCAAATCCCCCACACTTAGGCTTTTGCTTGTCCTCAAGTAAAACAAACAACAAACACAAAAATATACACAATTTGATAAGATTTACAAACATAACTAAATAAATCACATATCCACCTCTAATGTCCACTAAACGGTCCAATACCCTGAAATGTCACAAAATAACGCATTGAGAGTAAACCGAGTATTATTGCCTATCACTAAGATTTTCAAATCAAACTTTTAACACAAACACCTATAGATCTAAATTAGTTCGGGTTATGCAGAACAAGTTTCTCCAATCCGCTAAATTCAAAAAATGACACAAATAGATCAATTAGGACTTTTTTCGGTGAGTGGCGAGATTAATGAGTGTGGCTAGTTGGAAGGAAAGTTTGGTGTAAGAATATACAGAGAGAGTTAGATTGTACTAATAGTGAGCGGATCATCACAAGAATTTACAAAAACTTGGAGCATACAAAACAATGAGAAATATAAACATGAAAAGTAAAAAAAAATGGGCTTTTACAAAAGAAATTACAACAAGAATTTAATGTGCCTCTTTGTTTTTTTTTTTGTTTTTTTTTTCTTTTTTTTTTCAATTTTTCTTCTCTTTTTTTTTTCTTTCTTTTTTTTTGATTTTTTTTTTCAAAGAGGGCACACACTGAACATTACAATGAAAAACTAACCCCAAAATTTACAAACAAATATGTACTTCACTCATATGACACTTAATAGTAGCTCCATTTATTCGCTCACAAGTAACAAGACAATCTACTCTAGGATTAGAAAAGATTAACTTTGGATAGGGCTTCAGAAGGTTATGTATTTACAAGGTTACAAAAAAAAGAATTAATAACAAGTGAAGTAAGATATTTTACACTTGTACACTGAAAGGGTGAAACGGGGTTACTAGGGAAAGTGTTATTTATTTACAAAGGGATAGTGTTTGGCTTCATGGGTAAACAAAGATGGCCTAAATCATTTCTAAATGTGTCAAGTTCAAATAAAATTTCAAGGAGAATAAATGTATGAACATCTTAATCTGCATAAACTTTCACTAATTCAACTATTAACCAATAAATTGGAAAAATAAAATCTAAGGTGTTTAATGTTAAAGTGTTAAAAAGAATCAAGTTCAAAGCTAATACTAAGTTACTCTCAAAAAATTATAGTGACACTTCTCAAACTCAAACCACATTTCGTCAAAAGAGGTGAATGAATAGTTTTAAAAAGTTATGGAAGTAACTAGTAACAAAAAGTGTAAACTAATGTGTTGTTTGTCTATTGTTGTATTTTGGACAAGACTGGTCTTTACTTTTCTAAACAAACACACAAAATAAAAATAAAAGAAAATAAAATCACACAAACAAGCAAGGAAAAAAAAACAACACAAGAAATCAGGGTCAAACTACCCACTCCCCCACACTTAAAATTTGCACTGTCCTCAGTGGAAAAAAATTTAAAGGAGTGTAAAGAAAACTTCCCTGAAGTTCGGACGGATGATGTTGAGATGTCTTTTCGAGCGGATGTGGCCCCTTTAGAGTCCAAAAAAAACCTAGACATTATTTTCTTCTTTTTTTTTTTTTGCTTTTTTTTTTTTTGAAATTTACAAACTTGGGTTGCCTCCCAAGAAGCGCTCGTTTAAGGTCATTAGCTTGACCCATGCCTCTTCATTCATATTTCGGATCAGTGAGGCAATACACAGAAGTTGCCTCTTGTCTCTCACCATCATGGTATAGTTTCAACCGTTGTCCATTTACCATGAGTTTTTGGCCGCTTTTGTTTAACAACTGGACTGCTCCGGATGGAAATGCTTCAAGTACTTCAAATGGACCCAACCATCGGGTCTTTAGCTTTCCGGGAAAGAATTTGTAACGTGAGTTAAATAGAAGAACTTTATCTCCCCGTTCAAATTTTCTTCGGCTGATCACTCGGTCATGCAAAACTTTTGTTCTCTCCTTGTAGAGTTTTGAGCTATCATAAGCTGCAAGTCTGAATTCTTCAAGTTCATTTAGCTGCAACAGTCGTTTCTCACCCGCCAATGCAAGATCCATGTTGAGTGTCTTGATTGCCCAATATGCTTTGTGTTCAACCTCAACAGGAAGGTGACATGCTTTCCCATACACCAATTTGAATGGTGAGGTGCCGATGGGATTTTTGTAAGCAGTGCGATATGCCCATAGTGCATCATCAAGCTTTTCGGCCCAATCCTTTCGGGAAGGATTAACAACTTTCTCGAGAATTGTTTTGATTTCTCGGTTTGAAAGTTCCACTTGGCCATTTGTTTGCGGGTGGTATGGAGTTGAGAGTCGGTGGTGAATCCCATATTTGGAAAGGACACGTTCCAATGCTTTGTTACAAAAATGAGTACCATTTTCGGTGATGAAAGATCGTGGAACTCCGAATCGGGAGAAAATATTTTTCTGAATGAATTGGATCACCACTTTGGCATCATTTGTCTGTGTGGCAGCTGCTTCTACCCATTTAGAAACATAATCAACAGCTACAAGGATGA